GCTCGCTCAATTGAAAATGTAACTTTATACCTCGCATTCATAAGAAATAATTAACGCGCAGTTGACACATAAATGCTTTATATTTAGTGACTGCAATTAGCGAATAAATAATATTTCGTGACGATTCCGTTAGTCATCTTGTATTATTATCTGACCATGAAATTTATTTTACACGGTTATTCATGTTATGTGTTTATCGAGTACATGGAATTTTTGCATCGTATTCCAATACGTGGTATAAAATAAAACATTTGTTATTGTTTCATAGACAATGACTATGACTAAGTATTATTATATTTATTATAGCTATTTATATTATATTTATTATAGCTATATTATATATTTATTATATATATTATATAATATATATATATAATGAATATAATAATATAGCTATAATATATAATATAATATTATATAGCTATAATATTATAATATAATATAATATAATATATTATATTATATTATATTATATAGCTATAATATATATATATTATATATATATTTATATATATAATATATATTATATATTATATATTATAGCTATATTATTATATTTATTATAGCTATATTATAGCTGTATTATATTATATATACTGATTAGTTAGTTCCAAGTACATATTTCCACATGACTGTAAAAAAAATTTGACTATATTTGAATATAAAACGTGATAAAAAAATACTTCATAATACTTAATAATAAGTATACGCGTAAAAATTTCTAGTTTCTAAATTTCTAATTATGCAATTTTTTTTCAGCTGTGTCTCGTTAGCAACAGGAAGAATAAATCGAATTTCTTGACTAGACGCATACATGCATAAACGTAGAATTGAAATGAAAGGTCTCATTGTTCCGAGCTATGAATTGATCGAGCTATGAATTGATCGAGCTATTCCGTGACGATGATCATGGAAAAGTTCATCGGCGCACATCAGTGATATAAAGTTAATTGCAAGAAACTGAACGCGATACTCGAAAGCGGAAGCAACTGCAAGGCTGTCTCTCTTTTGAAACAAAAAGTTGAGCAAAATTGCCGCAAATATCGTTGCATCCTGACAAATGGATCACACCAGTGGAGGCGGCTTATTCAATTAATACAATGCCATCGATTTAAATCAAAAGAAAGTCCGTTAATTTGCTTGACTCGACCACAGTGTAGTTAACCTCTGTATTGTAGCTGATAAAAACGAATTCGCCTCAATTAACTGATTCAGCCAATTTCGGCTCGCGCAGTGTCGATACAGCCGAGCAATGATATCACTCTCTCGCTGCGTGCGCTTTGTGCGCTTTTATTCAAACGGAGCGAAAAAATAATCGCGATAGGATGAGAAGATAATGACGAACGCGTGAAACGACGAATTATTGTTCAATTCGACGGTTTATCGTTCAATTCAAGCGAGACGATCGTATCATTAGGCGAAATTTTATTTCTCCCTGGCATCTATTGTTTTCCGTGCATTTAATGCAAATCGATTAATAACGATTCAATAGGGGGATAGAGCGTAGGATAAAATGTAGCCTTTGTTCGTACATATTGCGGCTCACGATGAGAAACTTTATATATCTAGTTAGCGTTAAAATTTAACACTGTAAATAATTCTACGAACACATATATGTATTCCATCAATATAAATTTGATAGTCGTGTTTCTTCACGATGTTAATGATTCGTGTAACGCGTATAATTTGTTCATAAAAAGGTTTATTTTATTTTTTACTCGTGGAATTAGAGTCGACAGACTACGTTAATCCCACGAGTGTTTTCGTAGTTAGAATATTCATTACGGTGATTATCGTTGTCGGTGGTAATTGTAGTGCAGCAAAGCCTTCGTTCGTTTCGTTATTGGCGTTCATGTGGCTGATATCCATATCTGTTAACCTTTGTTTAGACGAATTAACTAAGCTTTTTGTATCGCTTGCTTTCAGTTTGTGCAACAACTTTGTAACACGATGTACGTCGACTGATTGGGCAACCTTATCTTGTACAATGTAACTCGTTGATCTCGATGAGGCGACGTTTTATCGAGGATAACTAATTAGTCCGAATTTTCAGCAGGGAATGTTACGAACGAATTTCAACGGTGCGACATCCACAAGGCGGAGGGTCAATGCGGCGAGAATGGAAGGTGCTTTCAAAGTACAAAGGACAAAGAGGGAGAGTGCATATGCAAGCTAGGTTACGAATTTGAGAGAGGCCAGTGTGTCCAGGTCACGACTACCACGATTACTAGCATAACTGTCGATCAACCAGAAGTCGAAGTCAACTCAGGAGGTACGTGTAGAAATACTGGCAGCGTTATAAACGGCCATTCTAAAAATAATGCTTGCTACCATAGAGAACAGAACAGAAAATTTTTCCACGATACTGTGCATCTTTTTTTTTCCCCCTTCAGTCTGATAAATATAGCGGCTGCATTAGCTCGTTATTCATAGAGCAACGATAAGATGGGGTTATCGTGGATAAAATAAAAATGCTTAAGCAACAGATGGCCGCTGTGTTCTGCATGTGGACGTTACTGAATGAAATTATTTTTACATTCTGTTTAGGTAGTTCCGTAGCTGCCGGTTTGTTAATACCGACTTTCCTCATAGTGATGAGTGTGCTGCTGTATTTCGTTGCGAGGCGATACAAATGGTTGCAACGAGTTCGACATCTTCGTCCGAATCATTACGGCAATGTCCTAGTCACAAGAGACGACGACGACGACGACGATCCACCGATACCGTAAGCAGGTGCCTAATAACAATTCATACCGTGTACAAACGTGCGAATGTTCTCATCAAAAGCGCGAACTTTCGTACGCAGAAACGCTCAGTTACACAATTCATAATTTAAAGCGACAAGCGCTGAGTTACCTTTACGAGGATCACTTTACCGAATGACCGCAATAAAAATTCCATACCGGTTCACATTCAATTTCTTCGTCTTCTCCGGACAAGTTGCAAGAGAATTTCGATCGATTTCTCTATCGAAAGATTTCCCACACGCAGATAATGCATTTAATTGCTTACATGTTTCTTTATGTGATGGTGGATGGTAATTTCGAGGATTTCACTGAACAATGAAATGACACGCGCGAAAAGTTTTCTCTTGGAGCTTGTTACGCTTAGGGAACAATGTTGTGTAACTCTGTGTAAATATATGGAGCAAAGTTTAAAATACGAGGTAAATATGCAAGGCAAAATATCGTCGAACTGAATCAAGAGGCTAAATGTAAACGAGTGTTAGTGTAAGTAAATGTATTTTTTATGCTGATGTACGAAACTTCCATTTCTTTCACACCGACTTATGCTATTTACTATGACGTACTTTGCGTTTACATGGCAATTACTTTTGGAAATGGCCGTGCTGGCACCATTATTAAAAATTATGTAATGTTCACGTTACTGTTTTTTAATAATGGATCGTGGAGAACATTTGCATAAAAATACTGTTACTCACAAGATCACCGATTCCTATGTTTATATTATACGATGGTTGTAAGGGACGAGGGATAACTGACTGCGGTTTCGATAGTTTGTAAGAAGACATTGAAAGCATAATTTTTTACGATGATATTACGAAGCTGGTCAGTAAATTTTACATAAATTAATAAATTTGTATAAAATCAACGATTGTCAGTCCACCTTTCGCTGTATGCAAAACTTAGAATGAATTACATTGTCTATGTTCTCGATGTATTCTCCGATCGTGCAATGAGATTCGTACACGTGATGCGATTAATATCGATCCGGTATATATTCATAGATATTTTTATATTTTTTTAAACCTATAACGATTCCTATTATTATTTTAATAGTATTGACTTTCTCCTTGCAAATTGATGATACTCGGGATATTGTATCGTGTTCACGTGGATGAATTTTGATCGTTCTCTCTGAATGTCTTGTTCTTTCGAGGGTAACTCTCAAAATGGATGTAACTTTGCCAAAGAATAAACGTTTCAGGATCTAAATTAACGCATACCTCTCAGTTGTAAGCGAACGCGCAAAGAATCTGTGTTATATGTAATTTCATATATACATAATTGCAATTAGTGCATCGTATATTAATTATCTACTGTCTACTTTACTAATGATATTAATTACGTGTGCTCGGTTTAAATGATAATTGGAAGAGAGAGAGAGAGAGAGAGAGAGAGAGAGAGAGAGAGAGA